CTAACCTAAACCTAAAATTAAGATTTTACACCTAACCTAAAATTAGGTCAAAATAGTCCGTTAATGTTAATAATGACAAGACTGCAAGCTTTAAAATGATTGCATGTTATCGATCAGAAGTACAATTTTTCAGACACTCGGTAATACTCGAACACTAAATGTTATTTCAAGCTTAACCTAAAATTAAGTTACACCTAACCTAAAATTAAGATTTTACACCTAACGTAAAATTAAGTCAAAATAGTTTGTTAATAGTGAAGGTACAGGCTGCAAGCTTTAAAATGAACGGAATTGTTTATTGTCGTACAATTTTTTTTTTTTGCACAAAATTATGCAACTAGAGTTTAAACATTTACAGGAGTCGTTATATGTATTGTAGAATATCACACGGTTGTAGTAACGAGATTGTCATTTTATATTGTTTTTTAATGCTTCCGAAAGAAAAAGGCGAAAACAGGAAAGCAATTCAAACGATTTGGAGTAATAAATCGCTGCAAGACAGGTCACGTTCGGGACGTTCGTCAGTAATTAAGAATGACGAATCGCGCGAATACATTGAAACCTGCGCAAATATATGCGACGGCACTGCGGTATTCAAACGTCATGAATTCACGACCAAAAAAAAAAAAAAAAAAAAAAAAGAAAAACCAATATTTAAACATATTTCAATTTAATTTACATCACAGTGTACCTTTCAATAAAATTAACGTCGTTTACTCGTATTAACCGAGTTATCGGAGGATTTAACGCTGCATCGAAATAATTAACAAATTACTCGGTTATTCATATCCGAACGTGTGTCTAAAATTCGTTCATGGCCTCTGTGTTTATTGAATATGCGGCCGTAGTTCCCAATCAGAACGACAGCGAACGTACGTGCGTGGAAATGAAAACCCTGCCACCGAAAACGAAGACACGTATTTCGATTCGATCAGGTATAGATCAGCTCGATCCACTATGAATTAACTATTGTACTAAACGGTAACAGGCGAGCCAGTAGCGGACAGGCGGACAAGCGTTTCTCGAGGATTAAAATTTACGGGACAGCAACGAGCTTTCCGGAATTCATGGGCTGTAAAGTCAAAGCACACACAGGAGATGTATGACCAGCAGCGTGTGAGGGTCAACATGAGAGAACATATCTCGGGGACATGCTGAATCAGTGTGGGGAGGGAAAAAGAAAAGTAGAAGAAGGAAAGGATCGTTAAACTGCTGAAAGTATTGGGTGGAGAACGCGAGTCCGCGTTCCACCTAACGCCTATTGGATCAAATAAATCTTATGTTTTCCCTGGGTTTTATCGCGCCGCGACGTTTTTACCGTAACCACTCTCTACCATTATTTTCTCACATACCGGCGTGAAAGGTCTCGAATTTTATCGCCCGCGTGTGTGTTTCAAAGAGATGGATGCAACTCTGTCTCGTGTCTCGATTCTCGAAATAATTTGCAATATTTATATACACCCTTGTGCATTGCAAGACTGCAAGCTGAAATAGTTTCGAAACGAATTAATCATTGCATCCAGGAATATTCTCGACGAAAAGTTGCACCAAGCAAGATCAAAACTGTGATTCTTGAATGTTGGCGGCGTTGATGTCGCGGTGTCGCAACGAAAGACAAAATGGAGAATTGGAGCGCGCGAAGAGTGAGCAGTATAGTTGGTTTATTCTTTATTCATTGCATTAGATACAGACTCATTATGTATCATCCACACAAAGTATTTGAAATGTCGGAATTTCAATTGGAATATTCTTCCTGAAATAAAATGTTATTCGAAAATTCGATTCGCTAGTGATGTGCACGAGTATTTATTTCGAACACGTGAGTGGGTATCATCAATTGTTTAAGGCGTAATATTTAAAATAATTACTAGAAAAAGTATGAGAAATAACAAATACATATATATATATAATATTAATTAGTAGTATAAAGTATTGTTCGTATACTCGAGAAAAAAAATAGCTAGTTTAGTATTGTTCATTCAATCTGAAACGTAGAAACGTAAACGTGACTATTAAGACAGGTACACAACTATTATCTCGTAGACAAAATTTCATTCATGTATATAGCATATAAGCAGTCGGGAACGATTCAGAAATAATACAAAATAATATTCGAACACGAATATTATTGAATATCATTTTTGTCTGATGTGTTTCGCGCTATTTCTGAATAACGAGAGAAACGTTCACTTCAAATAGACTGTTTCAAGTCCATCGTGAAAAATCAAATAATATTTTTATATTTCAAATAATATACCAGAGCAACCATTTCAAACAAACAAACGAAACACTACGAAGGAAACCGATCTCTATAAATATATTTATATCTTACTTGAAATATCGCGTTAATTTCAAGTGGAATTATATCGATGTAATTATTTAATTACTTTTTAATATCGATGCACAAAAGCAGATCAAGTTCGTTTTCTTTTTCCAAATGAAAATATATGTTTTTAATGTACCAATATTTCAGTTCAATCTTTCGTTTAACCACTTGAATTAAAATTTGATCGACGAATAACACACTTTTTTTTGGCCGAAAAGCGATTGAGACAAGGGATCATGTCTCAATCTAAGAGGAAATTGTAAAATAAATTTAATTTTACTCAACGAATTTACTTCAACGATTTAATAAATCTTCTCGTTTCCAAAGATTTGCTTGCATCTCGAAGGAGCAACACGATGCTGTTCGATTATGCTTGTTGATCAAAGTGTGTATTTCTACAGTTAACGATCTTAATGACGACCAGAGACAAACTTAAAAAAAAAAAAAAGAAAAAAAGTTTCACTTCATTAGATGAGAAAAAAAATAGCAAAACAAAACGACGTACCGCGTGAAATTGTTCATATAAATAAATTGTACCTGAATCACCGAAATATACATCCCCTCTATTTCAATTAGACCCAGTGTGATGTACAAAATCGTCGTGATTTACACGTTCTAGGTGTTTTGTAAGCGTTTTTTTCGCAGTAACAAGCTCGCGAATTTAACTGAATATTGCGCAAATGCTAGCTAAACGCTTCTCTGAAGCTCCTGATGCTACACGCTTTGTTGTAGTAGTTAGGTGGATCGCGTATGCATGTACTATATGTACACCATCCGCTCAGGAATCCTAAGGCAAGTGCCCTTACAACTTCGCGTGATAAAAGTAGCGCGATAAATCTAAGTGATAAACTATATACATAACGAACGTAGTATTTACAATATAGATAACCAAAAAAAGTAAATTATATAATAGGATAGAATTATATGATGCAACGTAATATGTATAATGTAAATTGTTGTATTTATGTTACAATAAATTATAGTGAATACGATGTGATTGAATATAAAACTAAAAATATTAGTGCGATATGAAATAAAAAAATATTGGTGAAATATTAGTTAAAAATGAAAGACTTTTCGGCACACATACTTGCGCGTTAGAAAACACCTGTAAGTCGAGTCGAAATGTTCGACATTAAGAGAGACATTTGTTTTCGCATCGCGCATCTTTTTTCAGAAAAAAGAAACAAGAAACGAATTCTTCAGAGGCGTGATTTTATAAAATTGACGAATGTGCATTGGGCCACGCACCGAATGAAAGCAATTCATTCCCTCAGACGACCGGTTTTGTGTACAGTTAAATCGATACTTAATGCGTATGCGTACAAGCTACAGGAAACGACATAAAAATCACCGGACCGGGATAAGCTAGACGTATCGTATTTACCCACGAATATGCAGTTTCAAGGAATTTGTTCGACTGCAGTGATTAGATCAACTTTTTATCGAGTTAACAAAACGCCATTTAAAAGGAAAGAATTATTACGTGTGAGAAGATTACACACTCAATGAAAGGAGAGAAACATTTTTTATCGTAGAATAACTATACTAGAGCCATCTAGTGGAATCCGAAATCATAATCTGCCTTTATATTCAAATATTCTAGATGTTGTCTAATATTATAATATTACAAATATTCTAGATACTGCCTAATATTATAATATTACAAATATTTTATAAAAATATTAAAAAACATAATAAGTATCATGTTTTATTATTATTGTTATTTTTATTATATTTACGATATCGTCGTAAAAATATTTTCTGATCGAGGCTAGATAAAAAATCTAGAAAGAAATATATCCAAATATTATCTAATATTATAACGTTACAAAATATTTTATAATATCGTAAAAATATTATAAACATAATAAATATCATGTTTCTTTATCATTATTATTTTTTTCATTATATTACGATATCGTAAAAATATTATCTAATCGAGGCTAGATAAAAAATCTAGAAAGAAATATATCCAAATATTATCTAATATTATAACGTTATAAAATATTTTATAATATCGTAAAAATATTATAAATATAATAAATATCATGTTTCTTTATTATTATTATTTTTTTATTATATTACGATATCGTAAAAATATTATCTGATCAAGGCTAAATAAAAAATCTAGAAGAAAATATATCCAAATATCATCTAATATTATAACGTTGCAAAATATTTTATAATATCGTAAAAATATTATAAACATAATAAATATCATGTTTCTTTATCATTATTATTTACTTTTCATTATATTACGATATCGTAAAAATATTATCTAATCGAGGCTAAATAAAAAATCTAGAAGAAAATATATCCAAATATTATCTAATATTATAACGTTGCAAAATATTTTATAATATCGTAAAAATATTATAAACATAATAAATATCATGTTTCTTTATCATTATTATTCACTTTTCATTATATTATAGATATAATAAACATGTTTTATGAGAGACACGTTTCGTCGCATTGGAAACTGATCGAGGCTGAGTGAGAAACTCTAGAATGCTCGTTTTCGATCGAGAAGAGCTATCGATAAGAAAAATAGAGTGATCGATAATGGTGGGGAAAAAACTCATACTCGCCTTAGTGTGGAGTAGCTCCCTTGAAATACGGCGAAAGTGATTGTTGAGCAGCCAATAGAGGAACGGATTCCAGAAGCTGTTGGAAAGCGCGAGCCACGTGGCAAGGAAGTCGAGGAATGGCGGTGGCTTGCTTCCGGTACAAGCTACAACAACTTCCTGAATCGTCCATGGTGTGACCATAACAATGAATCCTAAACTCATTGCGGCCATTGTTCGCGAGGCAGAAGTTGACAGTCGCCTCTCGTGAGCTACAAGCTGAAATATACGAGATCACGAATATTAAAAATTTCAATTCGATATAACTTTCGCAGAAGAGAAAGATTACGTGACGATTCGTAAGAGGAAAAAAAAAAAAAAAAAAAATTGTAAACGATTCACTTGGTTATACTTTAACGTACTAAGCAGGATCAAATGGCCCCTTTTCAAAATTTACTTTAAAATCGTACATTCGTTGTTATTTCTCTCGCTAATCTGACTTTTTGCAAATTCTTATATTATCTGATCATTCAATTTCTCGTTTTCTGTTTCTTTCTTAGCTTATTTTTTTATCGAGAAAAATTCTTTGCATGTACTGCGAGGGGTCATTTGACCCCTTATGTAAAATGCCGGTACGTTTAGTGTTAAAGTATGAAGCTTCAACTCTAACTGTCGTCAGTTCGTTTCGTTCGAAAGTTGATTGTATTTTCTGCAGTGAGGAACAAATTGAGGGTACACCTTTTCGAATATTGTAGAAACTCAAACGTAAGGATGTCAAGAAATGTTTCTTCGTCAGGAAAAATTCATCATTTGTGGCATTTTTACCATTTTTACCATTTTTACCATTTTTACCATTTTTACCATTTTTACCATTTTTACTATTTTTACCATTTTTACCATTTTTACCATTTTTATCATTCCCTGAAACGCGTTGCGTGAAGCTTTCAAAATTTCAGATGAAATAAAGAATTTGTCGACGCAGCATTTTCAGGAACTTGCGCCTTCATAAATATGCAAAGGCGAAAAATAACAGAAAGAAAAAAAAAAAGAGTCTTTAATATTAGAAAAGATTAAACACCGACGTAATCCTGTAACGATAACAATCTAATAATCTTTCGTGTATATTATATCTATTCCTTCGTCACAACTTCTTTTAAAGTGCGAGTAATAAGAAGAAGGTCGCAAGGACTTGGTGGGGTGAAATGAGAGATCCAAAAACGAAGGATATTTCCCCGATAGATGGAGAGATCTCGTTGATTAATCCGAGGTTAAGGAAGGACCGCGGAGGACACTGAGTAATACGGGAGCATCAAATAAGGCGACCTCAGCGTCGAAAAGGTAGGACGTCTAGCCGGCTCGTCTTTTAGACCAGCTTGACACCGTTACGAAAGTCGCAAAGCGCTAAGCTCGTCAGCGTCAAAGCCTCTCATCGCGCGGCAGTAAAAGGATTACGGATCTGCTCGTTTAGATGAATCCTTCCTCTTTCGCTTCTTCCTGATGCTCTCTCACTACTCTCCGATCCCTCGCCTTATCTCCTCCCCCCCCTCCTCTCTCTTCGTTCCCTTCCTTTTTTCTCTCTCCGGACTAGCCCCATTTGTATTTTAAATGCTCGCGCCCTTTATTTTTGAATCAACCCATCGCCTTGCCTAGGACAGGTAACTCTCTCTCTCTCGGGATTAAAATTAATCGATAAAATCAATACAAGAAGGAACCGATTGTCGCTCGCGCAACATCGGATAAGCTTAAGTGTTTTTCGTTTCAGGGCGGATTTTTCTTCTTTCTACGTCTAAAGAGAGGTCAGTTTTTTTTTTTTCTTTTCAGGATATTCACCTGTTAACACGTTCCGTGCTAAGCCATTTTTGCCTTTTATTGTCGTTCAGGCCATTTAATATTTTGACTAAAGGTTG